CTCCTCCACTCTGTGGTGCCTGGGTCTCCCCAGAGGATGTGGCTGTGACTCTTTTAGAAACTGGGTGAGGGATTTGCCCAGATTTTGAGTACTCTCTAAAGGAGGCTTCCTGGTTCCTGAATTGTTGTGTTTGGTCATCTGACATGTTTAACACCCTGGCATCACATTTGGTGAATATTGGTCCATATTGGAAAGGATAAAGTGAGATTCAGTTGAAGCCGTCTTGGAGAGCCCATGGCAGGGTCTGCATCCCTGAAACACCTTTGGAATGCTTCCCCCATTGATTTCTGTGAACCTGCAAGATGAGCAGTGTGTAATTTGAGAGATTCGACTCTTTGTTTCCTGTCTGGATCATAGAACCACAGCTTCCTAGCTTCAGGAAATCCTCGAAGTCATTTGGACCAAACTGCTTGTTTTTGTCATTGTTGTTTATTCTGCAAATATTTATGTAGTACCTAATAGGAGCCAGGGCCAACCCATGCTTTTAAGGGCCTCACAACCTGTGGGAGAGTGAGTCCTGCGCAAGGGATGATGGAAACATGGAGGTTGGCCAGATACAGAGAAGCTTTCTCCAAAAGCCGCTCTGTGAAACCTGTGTAATGGAACCAGGTACCACATGGTGAAAGGTTTCACTGTGAAACAGGGTTGGAAATGGTGGCAGATGAATATTGTGGGAGAGCCAAAAAAGGTACCTGATTGTGAGAATCTGGAAATGATACTGTCAGTGCTAATGATGATTTTGAGAATGTGATGTGTGCCTGGCATGGAGGCAACTGCCTTGTGTAGATTTTCTCACTTTCTAGAAGTTGGTGATTTAGAGGTGCCATAATTTATAACTATTTTTGTATTAATAGAAATTTAGATTATCTCCCACTAGAAATATCATGAGCTAAAGAGTGATCTTTTTACTTCAAGAAGGATTTCTCAGAAGAGTGGAATATTACGTAGCCTTAATGAGATTCTGACATGTGGCAATATGGATTAACCTTGAGGACATTATGCGAAGTGAAATAAGCCAGTCACGAAAGGACAAGTGCAGTATGATTCTTCTCGTAGGAGGCACTTAGAGTAGTGAGTTCATAGAGAAAATATCCTGGTGGTTGCCAGGGGCTGGCAGGAGTAGGGAATGGAGAGTTGCTGTTTAATGGGTACAGAGTTTCAGTTCTGCGAGATGCCAAGACTTCTGGTGATAACAGTGCAAAGGTACTTATGGCTACTGAGCTGAACACTTAAAGATGGTTAAGATAGTACATTTTATGTTTCAGTGTTTTTTTTTTAACCACAATAAAATCAAAATACTGTTTTGACAAAGAAGCCCTATGGTGAGAATTAAAATTCACAAATCATGAGCTATGATGGACCTCAGATATGGAATGCATATGTAGGCACACACCTGGGTGCTTAATTATTTTAACTGAAATTTGAGATGAGAAAAATAAATGGGAATAGTTCTGTTCTACTTTAAAAAAGGGGGCAGTCTCTCAAGCTTTTGAAGCCTTTTTTGTCAGTTGCCACCCATAAAAAGTGGACTTTGGACTTAATATGGTCGCTTCAGTGAGCATGTGCTGATGTCTCTAAAATTTGTTTTTTAAGAAAAGTGCTTAGACTTACTGGAACCATTCATTTGTAACAATGTGTCTGGGTTCAGTGTATGACAGCTGTAAGTTGAAGCAGAAATACAAGGAAGAGGGACAGTAGAAATTCCCTAGTGACTGGGAATTAGGCCAACTCCCTCACTTACAGACACTGAAAGCCAAAGTTGTAAAATCTGTGGTTGAAGTCCTCTTTAAGAAATCTTTGTTTTAGACTTTTTATTTAAAAAAAATGAGGGGAGGGTATATATAGCTTAAGTGGTAGAGCACATGCTTAGCATGCACAAGATCCTGGGTTCAATCCCCAGTACCTCCTCCAAAAAAAAAAAGGCCTAATTACCTCCCCCCACAAAAAACCACATTGGTGGGGACAGATGGTTACTAGACTTACTGTTGTGATCATCTTGTAATGTATGTACATGTCAAATCATTACGTAGTACACCTGAAAATAACAGAATATTGTTAGATGATAGCTATATTTCAACTAAAAAAAACCTTGACGTGAATTCAATTTTCCTGGTTTTCTGTAGAACAATGGCGTTTTGCGAAAGGAGGAAGTATTTCAAACTTCTATACAAGAATCGTATAGAATGTGTCTCATTACAGACTAAAGAAGGTTTAAGTGAGGGTTCGATCTGTTAATGGATTTTCAAACCTTTTGAAGTCCGTGTTATCTACCATTTCTCTGAGTGGAGCATCCTTCCACGTTGGTAAGTTCGCACCTGCTCTGAGACTTCCTCTTCACAGCTGCGGACTTGACTTGTCTGTGGCTGCACCATGTTTAACTCCATCCTCTGTTCCATGTTAGCTCGTTCTTAGCCTTTCTGTGTGATAACCACCCTTGGTCCATGCATCCCTGGGCCAAAGAGCTACATGGGTTTAGAAAGACTGTCCTTCCAAGTTTATTACCCCTCCCTGCACTATGAGTTGCTCAAAACTTGTTAAACTGAGCGTTGTTATAATTTTTAAGTCTTTGTCAGTCTGATAAAGAAATTTTGAGGGGATCACGATTCAAGTTCTTTAAAATATTTGTGTATGTGCTTATGTATTTCTTTTTTGGGGAGGAGAGAGAATCTTAATATCCTTTGCCCATTTGTCTTCTTTTGGGCTGTTTGCTTCAGGTTTGCAAATAATGTGCATTACATAGACATTAATTGGAAATGTCCTTGGTTTAATTTCACTGCCATGCCTACTTCAGCTTGTCTCCCTCACCTTTGAGTTCTTTATTTTGATCTGTTCATCAGTGAGAGCCCATCAGGTGTGGTCCCTGTACCTGGAGCTCCTTAGGAGGGAGGATGAGGATGTTATGCCTTGAAATATCCGACAGTGTCTTTCTGGAGACCTTGCATATAACAATGGCTTAATTGGTTCCCTTCTGAAAGTTCTTCAAGTCCACTCCCTGAGGCGTCTGCTACCCAGAATGTCTTTATGGTTTTGCCTGCGAATTCCAGGCTTTTTCTTATCAGGCAGCTTATCCATCTGTCTGTGCTTACTGACTTGAATCACTGGTGTTACAATCTCATTTTTCTCTCTCATTATATCTTTCACTTTTCACCAAGGATACACAGGTACCCTCACCCCCTTTGCATTTTATGTCTATGTGTTCGTTCTAGTGAGGACAGGAAGTTTATCACCGTTTACAGTGGGAACTCAGTGTATTTTGGTAAGTGACTTGTTGAGGGAAAATGTCACAGACTGAGGGCTGTCATTTTCCTTCAGAACTAACTACACCATGTTGGGTAAAACCTCTGTCAACTTTACTTTTTTTAAAAAATTTTTAAAATACTAAACTTCTAATTTATCCCTTCCTCCCTTTCCCCTTTGGTAACCATAGTTTGTCTCCTATGTCTGTGAGACCATTTGTTTTGTAAATAAGTTCATTTGTATCATATTTTAGATTCTACATGTAAGAGATTGATATCATATGGTATTTGTCTCTAACATTGTCAAACTATACTTCAACAATAAAAAAAAGAACTGTAAATACATCACATACTAGAGCAATAATAATTCTCAAACTTTTGGTCCTAGGACCCCTTAAAATTATTGAGGATCCCAAAGAACTTTCATTCGTATATGTTACATTGATTTATATATATTGCATTAGAAATCAGAACAGCAAATTTTAAACCACAGGGATACAGAAGTACACGCTCGGTTCACTAGCCTTCGGAGCAAAGACGTCATCACGCATCACGTGGTCCCTGGAGCGGTCCACTGTGTGTCCATAAGAGAATGAGAGTGAAAGTACCGTAGAGAATTGTTTTAACCTTGCGGATCCTTTAAATTGGTCTCAGGGAACCCCAGGGGTTCCAGGCCACACTTTGAGAACCGTCCTGCTAAAGAATGTTTCTCAGGCTTCCTGTCTTGTTCATTAAGCTTGCGTTTGACACTTCTGGGTGTACATGTGCACGCCCCCATCTGTGCAGTGTGTGGAGGTGAGCGGGGAGGAGAGGGGCTGGGGCTAAACTGCAGGTTAATGTCTAAGGTGGAGGCATCTCTTGAAATGTGTGGACAGATCCCTTGCATGGAGGTTTGCTATTACCGGAGCTGAGTAGAGTCCTCAGTAGCCTCTGTCCTGCACCATCCCTTTCCCAGCAGGTATGTTTTAGTCCCAGCCAGATTTTAAGTGAAAGTCTGGATCCTGGGTCAGACTGATGTTGCGGGAATGGTCCCTAGAGGGAGTGACCAACCTACTTGTCCCCAGGGTCTAAACCTGTTGTCCTTGGACTCCCCCAGAGCCTATGAATGGGCCGACTTTCCCGAAACTGCATGTGTTCTTTTGGCATAAGGTCTGTAGTTTGCATCATATTCTTAAACTGGTCCTCTAATTTCGTGCTGTAGCTTAGGGTCGGGGTATGCTTTAAAGCTCCTGGGGAGCTGAGAATGTACAGTGGTTGGAAAAGCTTTAAGAGAAATATTGCATCACACATAATTCAACGTACAAACAAAAGCAGATATAAATCCTGTAGAAGTAGCTGCATGTGTGCGTGTGTTCTACAGGATGCTCATGCTCGGCTCTTCCCACACGTGGTGTGGCTGCCAGGTGTCCTGGACGTGCCTGTTTCAGGGTAGGTGTTGTCATTTTAGCTGTGGTCCAGTCTGGTTATTTGCTTAGAGATGCTTCCAAACGGGTTTCAGTTAGTGAATGAAGCCATGTGCTCCGTATTTTGGTCTGTATTAGTTACCTGATTGGTTGAATGAAACTTCACTGCACTTCTTTGGTCGAAGCTGAGGAATTTGATTGGAAGCTCCTTGGTTTGAAGGAAACAGAATTTGCAGTCTGAACCCCCACATCCTCCTAGAGCCCTTGTCATTCTAAAGATCTTGTTAGTTTTTTTTTTTAAGTAGACTCTAAGTAACTGTGCTCCTCTCTCTGGATTGTCCCACAGATTCCCTGTAAGGAGCCCCTGCTGGTGTGCCAGACCTCCCGGGGGCCATCCTCCCAACTGCCCCAGACTCCGACAGCGGGGCCTCCGATGGCAGTAGGCACCTCCCCGTGAAACCTGCCAAGCTGGACGCCACAGCTCTGCACGACGACACTTTGGCCAACCCTGTGCCCCCTTCGGAGGCGTGCAACCATGCAGTCCTAGCCTGCAGCCTGGGCATCCCTGAGGAGCTCTATGTAAGCGAGGCTGTGGAAGATGCTCCCAGCTGCAGAGGGTACCGGGATGCCTGCACCATCACCGGTAAGGGAGCCTCTCCCCACCAGGGATAGAGGGAGTCAGTGAGGACCACGGAAGGGTGCGGTCATATGAGTGGGTCTGGGGGATGTTGGTGGGGTGTGGGGAGGGACCACCAAAATGCAAAGAGTCTGAGCTTTGGGGTCATGAGACCTGCTTCCTGAACGGATCTGTCTGAGATGAAGACAGTACCTCATAGAATGGTTGTGAAGGTTTAAGATTGGAACATTGAACCCCGAGCAGCGTGCCTGACCCATAGAGATTCTCAGTGTAGTTTGGCCCTGTGACCCTCTCTCTGAGGCTCAGTTTCTTCAGACATAAGGTAGGTGTAATGGAAGTAACACACAGTGGTGCTGTGCAACGCAACACTGGGGACTCCCTGAAATGCCCTTCTTCACTGTCAAGATTTGCAGACATTAGTTCTCACAGTTGCCTCTGTCAGTCTGGCCTTCCTGGGGTCCTGGGAACAGGGTGATCACCACCCCATGCACCGGCGGCATCTGCTGTTCAAGCACATCATAATGGAGCTCTTGCTGGTTTCTTTTCTTTGAGGGGTCACTGAGACAAGTGCTTGGAGCCAGCGCAAGAGAGGGTTCTGAGTGGGAATGGTCTGGGATGCTGTGTGGAACAGCAGCAAAGAGCACGGAGTTAAGTCTAGTTGGGTTCAGGTCGAAGTTGGCCCAGTTTGCATCTTGTCTCCATTGTTTGCTTTTGTGCTCGTGTTGGAAATAATGCCCAGTGACAGTTTAAAATATGCAGGTTTGCTTTCAGTAGCTTTTTACTGTTCTCTCTCACCAGCTAAGCAAGGCAGACGGACCCCCCCCCCTTGTGTTAAGGGTAGCAGGGACACCAAGATGCCAGGGGTCCCAGTCCGAGTGGCCCTCCCTCTGCTTGTGCACCAATCCCACCCCTGCTTGCCCGCCCCCAAAAAACACACTTGAGGAACCTGCCCTCTCTCTACCATGTCATCCATTTCTTCTTACTTGTGCATCTTTCTTGTTAGCACAAAAACACGCTGCAATCCCTTCCTTCTTAGAAAGAATCCTTCTTTGCCCTGCTTTCCTGGCTGCCAGTGTCCATGTCTCTGCTCCTCAGTTTGCTGACTCCGTTTTTTCTTCCTGTTCTCTCCCACATCCAGGGCAAGCAGGCTCGTGACTCCACTGTGCCCTGGTGCTGATGGCCTCGTTCAGTCCAGGGGTCCATCATTAGCCTTTCTAGCAGGAGTTGACACTGCCACCCCTGCCCCCTCCTTTCCTGGAGATCTGGTCCTCTCTTGGCTTTGGGTCCTGACCTTGCTGGCTTCGCCTCTCCTCTCTGGGAACCTCAGAGGCCCCGGGACTCAGCCCTTCAGCCACGCCCTCTCCCGCGTACACCTTGCCCCGAGTGATCTCACCCAGGCTCTGGGATTCAGAATCTGCCTCCACACTGACCTCTCTCCAGTTCCTGTCCTGAGACTGGACCTTTGCCCTGCAGGCCTGACGTGCAGTCTAACCCCACGTACAGCCCTTTCACTTGGATGCCTGACCAGCAACTCAGACTCACGTGAAAAATGAACACCTGATTTCCTCCTCCACCTGCTTTCCTCGTGATCTCTCCTGTTTTTCTTAATGGTACTTCCCTCCTGCCATTTGTCCAGGCCGGAACCTGGGAGGCATTCATGACCTGTGTATTTCTTTCCCACCCCAGTTGGCTGGGCAGTCTCTTGGCTCTCTCTTCGCAGCGTGTCCAGAATTTGACTGGGTCTCACCAGCCCCGCAGGAACTACCCTGGCCCAGGCCACCTTCATCTCAGGCCTGGATTAGTGAGTGGCCTCCTAACTGGACCTCTCGGCTCCCTGCTGGCCCCTGTGCCATCCGTTCTCTGCCCGGCCGAAGGAGAGGCTTTTAAAATACAAAGTCAGGTGGTTTAACTCTTCTGCTCCAAACCTCCAGCGGGCTCCCTTCTGACTGTGGCCTAAGTGGCAGGGCTTTTCGTGCCCCTTTGACCTGTCTCCTCTCAGCCCACTCCAGGCTGGCCCACCGGCCTCCTTGCTGATATCCTTGGACACACCCGGACCGCCCCTCCTCAAAGTCTTTGTTCTCACCGCCTTCCAGCACCTGGATCACCGTAACCCCAGATGTCCCCCTGACTCCTTCACTTTCTCCAGATGGCATTTCCTTAAAACCCTTTTGTGACTCCCCTGCGTAAAGAGTGGCCCACCCCTACCTTCCCCGTCTCCCCTTCCTGCTTTAGCTTTCTCCCTAGACTTAGCCATGAACTACTGTGTGTTGGTATTTTGTTTGCAGGAGAATAGAAACTTCCCAAGGGCAAGGATTTTGTGCACTCCTGAATCCCAGTGACTGAAAGGTGCCCGCATGTGGCCAGGGCTCAGTAAACATTTGCTGAGTGAATAAATTGTATCATTTAATTATTACTGCCTCCCCATGAAGTAGGGACTATTTGTCCCTTTTTTACAGGTGAAGAGACTAAGTCGCAAAGGTTTCAGCTTCCTGCCTAAGATCCCTGAGCTCTAAGGGGCAGGACTTGCATCCAGGTCATGACCCCGGGGCATGTATTACCTGCTCCCCCACCCACCGGGAATACAGTCCACTTGGGGAGACCGACGAGTGAGTGGAACCGGACCGTGCAGTGTGATTAGCACAATGAGAAGCATAGGCACACGGGAGAGCACCAAGGAGGGTGCCTGGCTGAGTCTTGGAGGGGAGAGGTTGGGGGAGACCAGGAGGGCTTCTCAGAGGAGGCAGTGTCCCATCTGTATCTTCATTTGTCCAAACACGTGACCTAATCACTGGGATTGGTGCCAGCAAAATCTAGGAAACATCTAGCCTGTTAAAATAGTTTTACTTTGAACGTGACAGCCCAGGGCAAAGCAATGGCAGAATACATTGCTGAAACTTCAAAACCTGTGGGCGTGGTTCCTGGAGGTTCTCCGCTGGGGCATCTGGAGGACAGCTGAGAAACAGTGCTCAGTGCTGTCACGTGTGGCAGTGGCTTGGTAAGTAGGAGGGTAAACACAGACGCTGTTATGCGTTGAAGGTGCTAGGCAGCCAGACAATGCAGAACACACTCAGGTTAAAGTCTTATCTGATGGTCGTGGAGAAGAAGACACAAAATAAAGAACTTTCTGGGAGAGACTTGGCATCTCCCTGCGAGTGCCTATGTGGAATCTGAGGGCTTTGCCAAGAGCAGTCCTGGGAGACCGCTTGGCATCCAGCCTCTGATAAATCCACGCCACCCCCAGTTCCCAGGGAGCGCAGAGACGCACAGCAGGCTCTTTGTTCCTCTTTAATTTTTAGGCAAAGCCAAATGCCCATCACAGAGTCCTGCTTCCCCTCGCTCCCCTTCCCCCCAACCTATGGCTATCACAGGTTTGGGTGCGTCATCTTCTGTTTGGGATGGTTTAACAAGATGAGCCGATAGGGTGCCCAGGCTGCCTGGAGTTACGTAACTCATTGTGCTCGCAGGGCAGCTCACAGCCTTAGGATTTGCCCCAACAAGCAGACTCAGAACTGCTGTGTAGGTGCTGGAGGTGGCCGTGACCCGGCACCGCCGGGTGGGTGCTCATGGAGGACCACTCTTCTCTCTGAGTTGCCGTTGGACTTTCTTTCTGTACATGGCATTGGTACTGCAGCTCGGGCAGCCCGTGAGGGCCCGGCCCCTGCCAGGACTCTGCCCAGGCAGGCTCACTCGGACGAGCTCATGTGGTAAGTGTGTTTGCCCAGTGCGTCCGCTGTTGGTTTTCCTTGTCAAAGTTGTGGCCGGAAAGGCAAGAAGGCCACCAGGGAGGTTGTTCCTCTCCTGCTCTGTTCTGCTTGGCAGGTTGTCCTTGGACCTGTGGTGGGAAACTGCAATATTGGGTTATTGACAGGCGGAGCAAAGGGACCTGAGAGGCTGCTTAGCCCTCGTCCCCTCATCCAGGCTCAGGGGAGGCCAGTGGCACCTGAGGGGCCAAGAGCAGTGGATCTGAGTTGGGACCAGGCTTCCGGACCCCCACCACCTTGCCCTGGGAAGTTCTCTGCAGCAGCTGACTGAGGTCCCTCAGGCCCCCTCTGGCCTCTCCAACTCTGATTTTCCAGATCCTGTGTCTTTATCTTGATTTCTTACAGCCTCACCTGGTCAGCAAGGAGTTTTTCAGAAGGCGAAGAACAGTGTCTCCCTCCCCCCTTCCCTTTTTCCACCCTCGCTTATTTTTTTTCCTGTACTGGATGTGCTTGGTCCTGTGCCTCCCTTCCACACCCCGGTGATGGCGAGCTTGCTAATCAGGTCTGCTCTGGCTTGTCTCTGGCTGTGGGGCAGACAGTTCTTCTCACTTCCTCTAAGCTGGTCACAGCCCGATGCTGGATGACCCATCCGCTTTCTGTCCTGTCTGTGCGCTGGTACCCACCAGCCATCTGAGCCACAGGCAGTGAATTCCTGAAAGACGTGATCTCCACTTGTCCCATTCCAGCCAGTTTCAGGTTCAAGACAAATGAGACTCTGGACGGGAGATTATGGAGATGCTGTGATATGTATGTGTGTATTTAGTGTCTCCAAGCTTATTCAGTAATTCTGTTCAGCTAGCGTCCATTTGAGGCCAGCTTTTTGCTGGGGTCCATAAATGAGATCTGGTCTCTCCATCAGACCCCCACAGGTGGGTGAAGATGGAAGTGACCCTGGAGAGGACTGCTCCCCCTGTGCTTCTGGGAGCTGTCCCGTCTGGGGTCCCCATCATCACAGGGCCACCGTTTCACATCTCTTCCTTTCCTATCACTAATTTAAGCCATTTGGTTTACCCTCTGAAAACGTGCTCAAAGAAACTATCCTGGATGTCTTTTGTGAATTAAATGTAGAGTCTTGCTTACCGATTCCTGTCTAGTGTAAAATTTCCATTGTGTTTTCCGTTGAAAAGGTATAATGTCCGTGGTGCTTACTTGGCGAAATGAAACAGAAAAGAACAGACAGTGAAACATCCTTCTTTCCCAGAGGGAGAAAGTGTGAATTAGAATCTAGGGAATTACAGATTTCTT